TGATGAAGAGTACTTGGCAATACTCGAAACAGCGTTGTATGGTCAGCCAAATTTCAATAAATTAAATAATAAAAAATTTTTGTCTTTGTCTTTCTTTGCTATTCGAATCGGTCTAACTTTTAAATAGTTTCTTTCGTCATAAAAAGACACGCCATTATCGGCAAGAAAAAATTTACCTTAAAAAAAAATTATTTAAAAAATATATTTTATATAATATAATTTGAAAAAAAAATATTTTAAGTAGTTTTAACACACGTGAGCAACGAAATCTGTTTTTAAAGAAGATCTGTTTTAAATTTTTGCCTTATATAGATGGCAATAATTAATTTTTGAAAATACTCTCATTATTTATGGGTCATTAATTTAAAAAAGTCTCTTAATTAATTTTGGTAACAAAAATATATTTTTTTATGACCAAAAAATATTTCCTAAGTATTAATTTTTATCAGCTTATTATCATTAGCATACGCGATGGAACCGTTGTCCGGTCTTGACCTCATTCAACAAGTCTCTGCATTGATCTGCATCTATCGCCACTTAATGTTTTTGGTTTATGATTACATCCAAGTCGTTTCTTATATATTTTTATCATATAATAATTGTAATTTAATAATAGTAATATTAAAAGTAATTTTTCAGTACTTTTAAGTCATGTGTTAAAACTGGTATATCATATATATAAGTGGTTTTAAATTGATATATGTCTTAAATTTTAGGTGTAGTATTGATTTGAAATTTTCAGAAGGTTCCTAAAATTTATTTAGTGCTATTCTACAAAAACAAAATACAATTTCTTTTTTAGTACAAAAGTTAGCTCTAGTATTTAGGGAGACCGCTTTAGATCAACACTCTATACTGCTGAACATGAACTCTATAGTGTATCAAAAAGTATCTGAAATGTAATATGTATTAATTAATATGTATTAATGTAATTTGTATTAATTATATCATTGACTTTGGAAACAACTAAGATGAGGAGCATTGAAGTGCAAAATAATAGGACATCAATCTTTTTCTTTTATTATCATTGGTTTGTTTATTAGAAGTTTTTGCAGAACTGAGACATAATATCGTTTTCAGTTTTGTAGTTATTCCGATTAACAATGAGGATGTGGTTTAAGTGAAATAAACGAAACGGACTAAAACCATTAGTCCTTACTCTATTAATTATTACTCTATGTACATACGACCGAGCTACTTAGGTTAGGTTAGGTTAGGTTACTGGGGCCGTCCGAAGACACACTTAGACCATGAGGTCCATTGTGATACCCTAAGAATTTGACACCTGTCCCTATAACCACTTGGTATTGGCTACAAAGCCATTGACACGAGCTATGGAAATAGAATCTAGCTCTCTTAATGAATAGAAAAAGTGCGACCCTAAGTAGGATAGTCTATGTCTTGCGAAGGCAGGACACTGTAGCAGAAGGTGTGTTGGTGATTCCTCTTCATCATCCTCCATGCAATGTCTACAATGTAAGGAGGTCCTGATGTTGAGTCTCACGGCATGTCTTCCCAACGGGCAGTGTCCCGTAATAATTCCCACTATCCTGGATAAATTTGCTCGGGATAGATTGATTAATTCCCCCGATCTTTTCTTACTTATTTTTGGCCAAAATTCCTTGGTTTTTATGCAGTTGGTTACTGTTGACCATCTTCTTTCAAACATTTGGTATGTCCATAATTTTATTCGGTGCCGACAAGAAGCAACTGGTATACCCACACCACCACAATGGCTTTTTCTTTCCCCTCTGTGATTTTAGCGGGCAAGAACGGTTCAAGGCTATGTTGCAAGCATTTGTGAAGGTTTCCACAACGTTATCTAGCGATTGAGGAGTCTCTACTTCTTCAATAGGATATAGAGGAAGTAGATTTATTAAATTGGTTCGATATCTACTCCAGTTGGTATCACGGTAATTCCGATAAGGTTTCTCAACTGGACATTGTAGATTTATATAGAATTGAATATAACGATGGTCAGAGAATGAGTGTTCATCAAGAACTCTCCAATCCTTAATCTCAAGATCTGTGTTTTCAATAGTTAACGTAATATCTAAAACTTCTTTTCTGCCTGCAATAATAAAAGTAGGTTCCACTCCTGTATTGCATATATGAAGATTATAATCTAGAATAAAATCGAATAAGGACTCACCTCTTTCATTTATGTCCGAGCTTCCTAGATTGTGTGATGAGCATTTGCATCGGCTCCAATCACAACACCAGTCATTCTTTCTGCTGCTGTTATCACGAGCTGCTTAAGTATTTCCGGTGGTGGATTTCCTATATGGTCGTGGGCCATGTATGATGACACCACCCATACGGTTTTGCCGTCGATTTCCAAACTCACTGCAGTCTGGTCGTCATCACTAAAATTATTCAAAAGGAAACAATTAATGTACTTTTTAACTAACACACATGATCTAGGTCTACCTGAGTCTGTGTTGCTGATAAGTTTATAGTCATTTGTTCCGATTCCACAGATCCGGTTTTCCAGTATCTATGGTTCCTGAATCAGAACAATATCGGCTCCACCCTGTGCAAGGTGGATTAAAAGGTTTGCTGAAGCAGCTTTAGAGTGGTGGAGATTAATTTGAAGCACCTTCATCAGGTACTTGAACCTCTACCACCGTTTTATCGGCTTCGTCATCCGAATCCAGGAGCCCACTCTCATCGAATAGGTTGCCCAGACTGGTCACCGACCCCGCATCCGATTTGTCTTCAGACATCAGAGAGAGCGAGTCCACCTCCATTTGATCTGGCAGGTCTTCACTCTGTGTTTCCTCACAACTCTGCTGTCTTAGCATTGGTTCTTTAGCTGGTTCCTCCAGCAAGGGCTGAGCAGACGTAATCTTCTCCGGTTCTTCCGTGGCATCGGTACGATAGACCTTCAGATTTAGTTTCTCAAAGCCATAGGAGATTACGTATTTAGCTTCGGTGAGCGGTTTCAATGACTCCGCATTTAATACAAGGACAGCTTGTCTGGTCGGTCCAACAGGCTCCTCTAATTTTACCACCTTCCAATTTCCAGTTGGAAGGTTGGGGTTGCAGATCCTGATTATTTTCAGAATTTGCTCCGGGTCAGTTTGTTTAGTTGGAATCCAAACCCTGGCCCTAGGACGAGATGGAATATCCTTCTTGTCTACCGCTTCAAGTCTGGCTCCAGGCCAGATTTCTCCTACTTTAGAGACAGCTGCCTTGTACAAGGCAACCGATCTCGCATCCTTGCAAGCTACCAATTTCACTTGTCCTTGGTGCCAACCCGCGTCTTCGCAGGAGGGAGCAGGTCCTGGGTTTTCTTCCAAAACTTGGAGGAAGATGTCTGCCAGCGCGGCCGACACCCATTTCCATTTGTCTTTGGGGATTCTCCCCTTCTCGGCACTCCTATCCAGGACACCTATAATGAGATTGTCCTTCGCAACCTCACTGTACGGTCGTACCAGTACATTGTAACCTCTTGGTTTTTTCGTAAGAGGGGGTTCTTCCTCCTGAGACCTTTGTCTTTTAGACACTTGGTCCGGTTTGGAAGCCTCTTTGTTGCTTGATTTGGCCAAGATGCTTTTGGCCCAAGGGATGAGGCCTGTTGCTGACTGATTTTATCGGCCGGGATCTCACCTACGCGCTGCAGAATTCGTGTAGCCATACGGCGGTCGTTATGGGCCTTTTTAGAGGGTGGAATTCTCCTTGTGGATTTGGTTTCTGACTTGTCACTGCTTTTGGCCGTGACAGAAGAGGCAACATACCGACTGGTAGATGCAGTATTTCTGCTTCCAGAAGGTATTTGCGACGAGATTTTAAGTTCATTGGAAGTGGAGTTGGAGGTACCACTCGAGGTTTGCAGTCTTCTGCTTGGTGTTGCTACTGGTCTTCCAGTAGCAGAAAGTTTTGTTTGTTTTTTATTAAAATTTAAATTTTCCATATTGATGGGTCCCAACTCAGGTCCGCTATCTCCACCCGACGTGTAGTTATCTTTTAAAAAGCCCCATGGGTCCCTTTGAATCAGTGAGGTCCATGTGAAGGTTGATGTATAGCCTTATGAGCATATACATTCAGAGCCAGGCAGATATTAAGAGGGAGCTTCGCTCAACCTCACCTACACCACCAACTAAACGGCGACAGATATTGAGCGCTTCCTGAGGTCAGCCACGATTTTAACGGGACGGAGGCAGTCTCAGCATTAGCCTGAAAGCCATTTCTGCAGAGTTTCACCTCTACATACTGAGGTAACAGAATACTGAGACTGTCAGCCCAGGGTTCAGACAATTTATAATTCAGACAATTCAAAATCATACAATCAGTGTCAGTATAGCCAAGGTTGTTGCCGTTGAAGCCATATTGGCCGTAAAGGCCGTTGGACAGAATTTTTGCTCCGCAGTAGCCAATCCGACAAGGGAAGCCCTTAAGGACCTGAAGAATCCGTCGGTATAGCCTAGTGCATCATTACCTCTGTTGTCCCCAGAGACCTCACGCCGATGAATCAGAGCAAACTCCAATTCTTAGCTAGAACAGTCTGCAATCAGAACTCTCTATTACCAGTCGACACCCACGGGGAGGGTTAGGCAGAGGATTTATGTCAACCGAGCTACTTAAGTAATTTAAAAAAATATTCTTTTAAATAGCAATATGAGGCACATTGGAAAGTACAGAAGACTTATTAGGAATAGGCATTTGTAGTGACGCACAATCATTCTATTCATAATCATATATATCGGTAAAATAGATCCTTCATTTATTTATGGTACAGTAAAAACTTTATGATATTTAATAAATTTACTAACAGTTCAACCCAAACGTTTTAACTGATGGCCCAAGTTTATGAAGAGGATTGTTTATGTTATATGTCAAAGTCTTGACATATTCTTAATGAAGAAATAAGAATATCATCTAATTTATACGAAACGATTTTTGTTGGTGTTTTGGACATGAAACGAGTGGGAGCAAAATTTGATCTAATAATTTTTGGAATGTTTAACAGTAAAAGAAGGCATAGCTTCTGAAAGGAAAACCTAGGTGTGCTTTTTGTGTTCCTGTAAAAATAATGTTTCAAATTTGATGCATAATTTTTTTAGTACTTTTACCTTTAAGATGGTTCTTTTGTCTGGTTTATGGATAGTGTTTCATTAGTGGTATCACAGCCGTTGGTCAAACATAATCAAAACAAAAAGCTGGAGGTGAAACATAGTATTACTTTAATGCCGAAATCATTTTATTTCTAAAAATTAAAAACACACAAAATGATTATGGTTTTTAACAATATTTAAAATAAAGACGAGAGTGTTCCTCAAAATAGAAACTACAGTGGAATGAGTCCATAATATGAAAGAAGACTACTCTGAACGGTATGGAATAAATACTGAATATCATATTTTTTCATCACTCCTTGTATTATGCTAAAAAAAGACGTTATCTGATAGTAGGTTTTGTTCTATTAAAATAATTAAATACTACTTATTACTCGTAAAACAATTTTTATATTAAAGCGAACATTTTTAAAATTTATTTAAAACAATTTATATTGTAAAACAGAACAAATGTGCATTGTAATAAAAATAATATCAATGTACTAAATTGAAGTATTGTCTCAGCTTAGAAATGTTTAAAACTAAATGATACTTTCTATTGAGATAAAGTTTAGGACTAATTTGATGTCTAATGATCCTTCTGAGTCTTGTGCAATTTGGCGTAAATACCATCTTTGGCCAGTAGTTGATGATGGTTGCCTTGTTCGGCAACTCGTCCATTGTGCAATACGCAAATAAGATCCGCATTTTGTACAGTAGAGAGACGATGAGCAATCACAATACAAGTACGTCCAGAACAAGCAGCATCTAAGGCTTGTTGGACAATTTGTTCACTCTGTAAATCTAGTGCAGATGTGGCTTCATCGAGAAGTAGTACTTTCGGATTACGAACTAAAGCACGTGCAATGGCAATACGTTGTTTTTGTCCACCAGAAAGTTGTGTACCACGTGCACCCATTTTGGTATCGTAACCATTCGGTAGTGAAATAATAAATGAATGTGCATTCGCACACTTTGCAGCAGCAATTATATCTGCCATTGGTATATCACGTGTGTTATCACCATAAGCTATATTCTCGGCTATAGTGCGTTCGAAGAGTGAAGGTTCTTGAGATACTATGCCCAGTTTACTGCGTAAGTTTTCTAGAGTTAAATCTGCTTGGATTTCATCGTAGTTAATATGCTGTTAAAAAGAGGAAGTAGATATAATTTATAAAGTTTTTTTGCGCTTTATATTCTATTCTATAACTTACAATAGAACCAGCATCGGGATCATAGTAACGCTGTAGTAACTGTATACAGGTCGATTTGCCGCAACCGGAATGTCCAACCAAAGCCACAGTTTGTCCTTGTATAACTTCTAGATTGATGCCATTCAGTATTTTTACATCTTGACGAGTTGGATAACGGAATTCTACATCTCGATAACGTACACCTTCGAAGAGATTTAATTGCTTGGCAAGCGTGTTTTTAGGAAGGGTTTCAGGAGATCTTATTTTTGGCTTGCGATCTATGAGTAGGAATATACGATGTCCGGCTACTAGAGCTGCTGTGAAAGCAGGTGCAAATGCCAAAGATTGTGCTAACATCATTGAACCATATAAGAGTGTTTCTGATACTCTAAAAATTTGGAAATATAGCATTTATAAGATTATATTTAATATATAAAATATTGTTTACTTAATAATATCCTGGAAAGGTAGTTTTCCTTCTGAAACCAATACACCACCATAACATAGTGCGACTGCGTAAGCGAAGAATAGGAATGCTTGTCCAGTTGCATTGATAATACCACGGTATTTGAGTTTTTGTCGTATAAGACCCTCCACTTTATGCACCTCTTCATTATATTTGTCTATCACTGGCTGCTCTCTGCGTAAGCCGGCAATAGTGCGGACATTAGCAATAGCTTCTGTAGCAATACGACAAGCTTCTTCCAGTACAGTTTTTTCACGCACCATACAGTTTGTCATAAATCTACATTAGTTGTAATAAATTATTAATAAATTTTAATTTTCGTTTTTATTTTTGTTTCTGGAACACTCACTTCACTTCAAAGATAACGGAACCCACAATAATCGGACATGTACTCAAACATAATAGAGCCAATTTCCATGAGTAGTAAAATGAAATTGATATACCAACAATAAAGTTTGAACATGCTTGTAATAAGCCACTTAATGGGTATCCAATAGCACCTTGTACACCAGCTGCATCACCAGACAATCGTGCTGACAATGCACCAACTGAGTTCTTTTCTTCATCAAACCAACCGATCTCTTGTATCATAATTGACTTAAATGACATAGAACGTATTCTGGTAGTCAACCAAACGCCTGCATAGTTGAACAGATACGTCTGTAGAAACGAAGCTACGCCTGTTAGTATGCCAAGGCCAAGACAACACAAAGAAAGAACAGCGGTGCGATCCAAAGCGTCTTGTTTTTCAGGCTCCGCCAGTGCAGAATAGAATTCACCAAAAACAATAGCAAAAGCTGGATAAGTGAAGCCAAATCCAATAGCACATATTGCACCCAAAACCAAGAAACACCATTCCGGTCGTGCTATTTTAAGAATGCGAGCGAATGTCACAAAAAAATTAGGTTCAGGTTCTTTTTCTTTTTGTTCTGTCAATGCTTTCATATTCTTAGGTAGCACGAAATTGGGTTCCTCAAATTGTACACTATTTTTTTGTTTTTGTTCAAAATTGACTGGGTTGGTTTCAAAGGACTTTTCGTAGAGTGCAAGGCTCTTCCCTAAATAATTATATATATAAGTAAACAACAGACTTAAATGTAACATAGAAAGTATTTACTTTTTTCATCATCAATGTCAACGTCTTTGGGTTCCTCTGGTTCCGGTATTTTCATGTCACCAGCTTTAACCATATTGTAGTACATGCCCTCCAGTTTCATTAGGTCATCGTGGGAGCCTTCTTCAGCCACTTTACCATCATGTAAAAACACAATTTTATCTGCACTACGCACAGCAGAAAGTCTATGCGATACTACAATAGTAGTACGCCCCTTGCTTGCTAAGTCTAATGCTTCTTGTACTAACTTTTCCGACTGGTAGTCTAAGGCGGAGGTTGCTTCATCCAGTAAAAGAATTTTAGGATTTTGTATAAGTGCTCGCGCAATTGCTATGCGTTGTTTCTGTCCTCCAGATAGCTGAGAACCACGTTCACCTATAACAGTTTGATAACTCTTAAAAAGAGAAGCATTATAAGCTCTATATATAATTATGTGTAATATTATTGTTTAATTTGGTACCTCAGGTAAATTAATGATGAAGTCATGTACACCAGCAGATTTTGCTGCAGCTTCGATTTCCTTTTGTGTAGCTTCAGGTCTGCCGTAACTAATGTTTTCTCCTAGAAAAAATCATAAAAAAATTTGAAAAGAGTAAATAATATTTATTATTTTACTTACCAATAGATCCTTGAAAAAGTACTGGCTCCTGACCTACAACTGCTATATTCGAACGTAACCATTGTATATTGTACTTTCTGATATCTAAATCGTCTAGCAGTACTGCTCCAAAGACAGGATCATAAAATCGTTGCAACAGTTGCACACAAGTTGATTTGCCACAGCCTGAATGTCCAACTAAAGCAACTGTCTGGCCTGATTTAATTTTAATATTCAAACCGCGATGTACTATAACATCAAGACGTGAAGGATAACGAAAGAATACATCTTGAAATTCGACATCCCCGCGCAAGCCATAATTCAAAAGCTTTCCATCTGTTGATAATGGATCGATTTTTGAAGGGGCATCAATAACTTTAAATATATTAGATGCACAACCACGTGCTATAGCAAAAGCTTCCAGAAAAGGTGCCGATCGTGCCAAATTGTCGGCACCAACAATAATACCAAAGAAAGCCTTTCATGAAAATTTGATTAATTTAGTGGTAATATTTTTATGTAAAATAACCTACAATCATTAAGATGGCTGGTGTGTATTCCTTGTCGACGTTATCACGATCATCCAATATCAAATTAACACCATACCAAAATGCACCAGAGCAGGACAGAAATAACATACTTTTTAGTACTCCTTCGGTAAGACCAGAGAAAGCACCTTTACGTTGACTTGCTTTTCGTGCTGGTACAAGGAAATTGTCATAACGTTCTGATTCACGTTTCTCTCCACCAAACGAAACTACTGTTCGAATAGATGTAAGAATTTCTTCAACTAAGTTGCCAGCCCCGCCATAAGATTCTTGCTCTCGTGTTGTGAGTTTACTTTGAAACTGTAATGGTTTGTTTGGTAGTCGGTATTATAGTTTGAAAATATGTTATATCTTCTTACCTTTGCAACAAAAATATTTAAGGCTATAACAATTGGTATATAGACACTAACAGCTAACGTCAGTTTCCAGCCGTAAGCAAAGGATATAGCTACGGTAATCACAACGCCTATGATTAGATACAAAAAGTGGCCCACTTTCTCTGATATGCCATCACGTATCTTTTCTACGTCGCTTGAAAAATTAATAAAATTTATCAAAACTATATAATGTTAAGCACAACGTATTAAAATAATTACGTAAAAAAAATAAATAGTATTAGTAAATTGCATATATGTTACTTAATAAATTATGAGTAATTACTAATCCTGAAATTAAAATTTTCAAGCAGTGGTCTTTGGTGAAAAAATATTTTAATAAAAATTACTCAGTCATGTTTTGTGCAAAATTTTGCTTCGTTGCCAAATCATGCCAACCGATATCCTGTCTCATCACAGATTCAAAAAGGCTTTTCCGCATGCGAGTCACTTGGCGTAAAGCTATCAAGTTAAAAACATCCACGGAGAATATGCCCGATATCAGCATAACGACTGACGCCAACGTCAAAAGTATGCCGTAAGATATGGAATCTTTGTACAATTCTTCACTATTCACTTCTGCAGATGCATTTGTACTTAAAGATAAAATCAAATGTTAAAAAATAAGTTATTAGATATAAACTTTGAAATCATATTTACAGCATTTTGCCACCACCAAATATGGGTAAAGCATAAGTTTCTGAACTGGTACCAACCATCAAAGAGCGATCTACCAACATGGCAGTAAATTCACTATAGATAATCACAACGGCAGGTAGTGTAAGTGCTTTAATGGCTGACATTACAAAACCGATGAAGAGAAAGAATATTTCCCATGGTGTTGAGTATCGAAATAATTGAAAAAAACTAATAGGTTTTGAGGGCTCCAGACCAGCTGCATAAGGCACCTCATCTGACGTTTTAGAGACTGATGACTCTTCGATATCCATATTATTTCAAGCTATGAATAAAAAATATTTGTTTATTGATGGTAAGTATTAAATAATAGGAAAGTATTTACAATGTTTTATTCAAAATTTTCTACAAATATGTCATCTTATCTAGACCAATTTTAATCGAAATGATATATCTGCTTGTGTATTCCACGCAGAGAATGATTGGTATAATTTCATCTTGATTAAAGATTTGTTGATGATAAAAATGTGAACATTATAAAGGACCTTATAAGCGAGCATTTTATAGACTACAAAAACTATGGATACATCTATTTCCTATGCCTAAATTCGTGTATGTGCATTCATAAATCTAAGTAAATATTCAGTGTACTAATAATTAAATTTACTATCTTTAAATATATTTATGTGTAGAATTTAATATATATTCTTAAAAATAAATGAGATTGCAAAATAAATAGACCGAGTAATCAGTGGAATTTTTATCATTAGTTTCTCAAGTAAGTAATTCGCAATTTTTGAAGAAAAATAAAAAAATAGAAGTATCTATGCTCATCTAAAGCTCGAAGATGATAACTTCAAAATCCGCTATAACGCCCAATTGGAGCCGCTGGTAACTGGTACAGTAAACTATTTATTATTTCATCAAAGGGTGACAAATAAATATTTCAAATGCGATTTCCAAACCCTAACTTTAACCGATCTTAAAAAAAAAAAATAAAATGTGCTCCTGCAGGTAGATAGGGGGATTTGAGGTACTTAAGCCTCTTTCTCACGCAGTTATAACAATTGGCTGAATACATATACTTAATAATGCCTTATGACATTTATTTTGAAATTACTGAGAGTATCTGAAAGACCAACCGAAGTAAGTTTCCGGCTACGAGCTATTAGGTCCCAGAGAAAGAGGACAAGAGAGTTACTGCTAGATGAAGTTTATAACACGCTTAGCAGTTATAAATATACGATAGTATTTATTATATATTGAAGAAAAATTGTGGAGGAAGACTTAATTCACGTCGGGTTGTAATAGTTAACAATGAAGTAGGATGGTTTAGTACAATTATTCGTATTATAAAACAATTCGTATATGATTCGAAATAGAGTTAATTAAGATCAGATAAAAATCAAATATTTAAATAATGAAAATAATTTAAAAATGTTTTAAAATATTCAAGGAGGTTAAGTGCTGTATATGTGATGTGACTTGCTGGGTATTCAGCATATGCTAACATCTTATATACATTCGAATTAGATCTGATTTAAAAGTTTTGGATAAAAAGCCTTTGTACTTTTACATCGAACACTTCTCTCTACCGACGCAATTTTCAGAAGAAAATTATTTTCAATGAAATTTTTTAATTGTTATTAGAACAGATTTTAGTTTTATTTACTATTATTACACAAAATAAAAAAAATATATAAAAAACTTTGTTTAATTTTTACAATAACACTGAACGTTGTATGGTGTCACTGTTGAGGTTAATTTAATTTAGTGTTTACCCATAAAGAATATAACATTGTCAATATAGCAAAAATGCGGTTTAGGTGACCTTTTGGGTCGTTTTACTTAAGAAATAATTTCTACATTGAGTTTTGAAAGAACGAATATATGTGTATATGGAAATAAGAAATAAGAAAGAGTGTGCAGGATTTTATTTATTATTTATTTATTTATTTTAAGACAAAATTGTTTTATATTTTGAAATAATAATATTTGGAAATATAAATTTTATTATATATATTTTTCAAAGTGAGAATTTGTTTTTGTCATAACAGGTGCTCTCTTAAATTTCTTCCCATCCATTCTCTGGACTCTCTGCATGCTTAGTCCACTACTGATATAGTACATGTTATATACTGAAATTTTTCTATATACTCAGATTTTGAAAGAGAACTATCCTTGCAACAAAAGTAGAAGTGCAAATATTATTCATTGAATAACAATATAATACTTGGTATAGGTTATATAGTCGTATTGACTTCTTCGTATATAATTTATGTGTTATAGTATAAAATTATTATATAATAGCAATTAAGATCTTAATTTTATAAAGTTAACTGATTTAACTATTATTGTTAATAACTTAGAAAAGTATTTAATACACAATATTCAGATATTAGTTGGTTAATCAGACATGTTTTCTCGAGTTTTATTTGGTATGTTAATAATAAGTAGGTATTATGAAGGCTAGTCGAGAACATATAGAAGTTCTAAGCTTTTCTAATGTCGGTTCAAAACAATAAATTTACATTTATTGTGTGTTGTTGTTGTGTAGTTTGATATGGAGCCCCATCATTATCAAGCGGTCAAGCTATAAGAAAGCTTCGGAGAGAATTACTTGAATCTAGATTCAAGTAATTCAAGCAATCTCAAATAAATTGACTGGTCTAACGAAGCTAGTGTTTAGTGATCATCATTGTAAGATTTGTGATTTAAACAATTTTTTTATATTTATCGCGTGAAATATATAATATAAAATATTAATAATAAACTATCAAACAATTTAATAGGAGAAGGATTTTAAGTATAAATCGAATTTCATCGGTTTTAAAGAGAATGATCTATCTTCTCAATTTTCAAATTTTTCGAATGAATACCTCTTACAGAGTATATTATATACTATTGATAGCGTAAGATATGAGTAAGGATTATTTTTTATTAATTCAGTTTTATAATTGCATTAAACTAATATAATTAATAAAATATGTCTTATTTGTATAAGTGGTAGAATAGCTCGAACAGACAACGGGAAACGGGCTTACTTATACTTTAATAAATATGCTGATTGTATTATAAACTTCGCTAGTCGACGTTAAGGAATTTTGGTTAGAGCTACTAGTAGTTTGAGTCGAGAAAACAATTTGTTATTTCAAAAAACAGAATGATATCTTAAATGCTCACATTGGAGATGTCGGATAGTATCGGGCGGTGGTAGAGTAGATAAGCCACATTTTCGTAACACTTTTCTCATTTTATTACATTATCTAAATGGAAACGAGATTATATCAATTATTATAATTTTTAATTAAGTTTGAGTTTGTAAATTACGAAAAAGTATAGAGACTCTTCTATTATTATTTACTTAATTTATATCGTATATCTTAAGAATAAATTACTAGATAATTAATAAATTATTTAATATTTTTTAAATTGTTAAATTAGTTAATTTGGCGAAAAAACCTTTATATGTGTGAGTACTATTAATTATAGCATTTATCATCTAATCTAATTTATTTTAGATTAATTAATAAACTTAATTTCTTAATGTCTACAAAAAAAAAAATATTTTTTGCCAATTTCGTATTAATCAATTATTAACAATTATTGTCACTTATGCATCCCAGAGCTGAATCGCGCCCAGAATGTTTGCAATAAAGCAATATTCATTCAATATTCATTTGCCAGTTCTCTTAAGCGTCTATTTTTTTTAAATTTGTTTTTATTGTAAAATTTTTAGATTGAATGTTATGTTATACATATTTTATATATAAACTTTTTATTGTATTTTATATATAAACATATAAACATATAAAATATTTGCATTATTTTCTTTTATTCTTTAATATAATTTTTTTTGTTTTAATCGAATAGTATGATACTTTATAATGTAAGGTATATGTATATAATATATATGCTTTGTTTTTTTAAAATTTTTTTGTTTTATATTTTAGTTTTAATTGGTTTGTATGGCGTTTTATAATATAAGTTATAAATAAAATATTTTTTAAAATTTTTTTTATATATTTATTTTTTATTTTTATTTAATTTTTTATTTTTATTTAATTTTTTATTATATTTAATTTTTATTTTTACTTAATTTTTTATTTTTAATTTAAAATCACGATACAATTATATTGTAATTGTTTTATAATTATAAATTTTATGAAATATATTTATCTCGTGCCATACAAATTGTATTCCTATTAAAGTTGTTGTAACTATAACTTTTTATCTTTTAATGATTTAAGTTTATTCTGGCTTTTTAAAATAAAATCATTTTGTTTTATATTAATGAATAGTTTCTAATTTAAATTTAAATTAAAATCATTTTTTTCATAATTTTTTTGGATGAGTTTTATGTCAAAAATAACTAATTCTCCTTTTGCATTATTCCCTAGAATGCAAAATTATATGAATATACCTAATAAATATATTTAAGTATATATACTTAGTTTAAAAGCATTCTAAATATTAAATCATTAAAATCTCTTTTTTTAAGTTTCTCTTTTTTAGGGAAAGGAGCAGAAGTTTTACGATCGGTGAAACTCCTATGAGAGTTGTGAACGGCACTATGTCTCAAGGAAATATACCTGATCGCTCTCAGTGTTATGTTTGTTTTGGTAAATTATAATTTAAAATTCTTTGTAACAATATTTAATTTCAACTTTTTTATAATATAAGAACTGCATTAAACATATTAAATTATCACAGTAAAGCTTTTAAATAACCTTTAGGAATGTATACTCTCTATCCTGCATCCTTTATTGAAATGTGAACTGAATTCCACTACTTATACATTATGATTATATTTTAATATGTACATATTCTATTTGTAATATAAAATCACACATTTATGTATATATATTTTATGCAATCTAATTTTGCTAACCCGTTAGAAAAGCACTTACTTTATCTATCAATCTATATTTCGAGTTATTGATAACCGTCTCGAACGTCATATAAATGTGAACTGAGTGAAAAAATCGTTTCGAACTTAACTTTAGAATTTATTATTTAATAAATTTAATTTCAGAGCAAAAGATCTCTCACAATCAATTGAACGAAGACAATAGTAATAAGTAATTAAACTGAAACTATAAAGATGAAGATGAAAGAGTACACATCGCTTTCAAGACTCCATATAGCCAATTTGCATAGGTTTAAAAATAAAATGGTTTTAATTATTTTGCATTTTTAGAGTTAATAAATTTTCACTTGGTGTGAATTGCTTGTTATAAATAAGATTTTTTTGTATAGAGAAGTTATCGAAATTTATTTATGTAAGGTGAACTTAGAAGAGTCTGTTTCGCAATGTACCCAAATTGCATTGATATTATATTAAATATCATATGAGAGACCAGACTGTCAAATAAATTTATAATTCAAATTTAACTATGTCCAAAATATTGTACTTCACAGTGGAATATTTTAGAAATTCCTTTTCAAGATAGAAATTATAAATTAATATAGGTCAATTGATTTAATTTAATTTAGATATCGTGACAGTGCAAAAATCTGAACACACACAATTCAAAAAATGTTTCCAAAAGTGAAATTTAACACAATAATAAAATTGTTATTACATTTTTCTAAAATTTTAAGAAGTATTTGTTTATCAATTAATATAGTTGATTGAAGTAGTAAGTTTTACTGTGAAATTTATTGTTTATGTACTTGAATTTTAAGAATAATTTATATGAACTTAACATTTTTTGAGACCTATCACTATATATAAACAAACAGAAAATACGTTTTGTTTATTTAAAACTTAATTTATTTATTTATTTTAAAGCTTACATTATATTACAAATTATTATTACAATATCACATAATCATGGATAATCAAATAAATTTACATTAATATAAATTTTATAAAATAAAATCAAAATAAAAATATAAAAGGCTTATAAACTGTTTTTTAAACAACAATATTACAAAAAACTATATTATAATTAAAATTAAAACTTATATTGATAAAAAAAATACAACAAATAATTAATTGATTTATGAATATGTTTACAATTATACAAAAAAGAAGTTTATTAAGATTTATGGCAAGCGCCAATCATTTTTACAAAATAATATATTATTCGTAATATATAAATACACAATAAAATACAATATAATACAAATTAATTCATATGAAAATTTTTTGTTTTTAAATATAAAATATTAAAGCGCTAAGTTTTAAGTTTAATTTACATTAACAATTATACATTTAAAATAAAAATATGTATGTATGTAATATTTATAAATTATTATATATAAGAGATTCTTTCTACAAACATTCATTTTCATATATCCTAGCTTAAGTAATTGGTTTTGTTAGTATATTCGATTAGTATGTATTACAATATGTATTATATATAAAAATATTTTATTTTAAATTTTGAGTTGTAATTATTTTATATTATTTTAATTTAAATTATTTAATAAAACAAAATTTTAATTTTAAGATTTATTTCTAATTTTTTCACAACCTATTTTTAGTGAATAATGATTGCATTTACATATATTACAAACTATCGAACATTTTATTATGTTACTATTATTTTGTAAGTTAATATCACTACATTATAGGGAAGTATTTGCTATTTAGGTAGTGTGATAGTCTTCATAGGGAGATATTTGACATAACATATAGAACTGAAATTTCACTTAATAGTGTTTTAATTGTAATAAATCTATACTGTGTAATGGTGTGACTGCAATTAAAATTTCATTAATTAACAATATTATAAAAAATCATAATTTATATAATTTAGAAAGACAATAGCTTCAGTTTGAAATTACTATTCTAGTAGGAATTTTTATGTTTCAATGAAATGCAATTGAAATAGAATAAAGTTGACTTAACTTGCAGAATAACTAACATATTATAAAAAACAAACTTGGAAACAGAGAAAAAACCAAGGGAAGCATATGGAGTGATATCCTTCTAGAAGTATAATCGAATAAATATTTCATAATAAAAAATAGCCCACGCGAGAATGACCCCCTAAATGGTGAGCGCCCAAATTCGAAGGTATAGGCAAAAACAGAATAAATGATAAATAACTGGGAAACGTCAGAGTACCCGAAGGAAGATATAAAACGTTGCCACTCTTAAAAGTCTTCTTGATACAAATTTTGCGAATATATCCACTAGGTGACAAATTTTTTTAAAGACATCAATTCTGAGGCATTTTTTCTACTTTACAATATGTGAGTATAGCTTAGTTTTCGAGATATCGAGCTTTACAACAAGAATTTTTACATAAAAGCTTCGAGCCATCTCGCCCGTCTAATTATAAAGAAATGTATTCAATGTAAAAATTATAGGTAATGTTTAGCGTTAGATGGGCGTAATCAATGTAAATAGTTTATAACTTTGAACATCTGCATCTCGAGAAATAGTCGAAGAAGTTACTAAAAATAGTTGTCAATAATAAAATCTATTGCCAAATTAGCATGCCCGAGAAATTGTTATCACACCTTTGTTGTTTTCTGTCTGGAGATAGACCCTTTTGATAATTTCATATTATTTCACCTACATTATTTCATTTTACAACGCATTCTGTGTTTGCCCATGCTGGAGAGCTATTAATAAAATAGATTGCACTAATTTTCCAGAAAAACATTTTAAAAATTTATATTGTCATATTATTTCGACAGAAAAGGTAGCTTTTAGATTATATGAATAAAGTTGTTCTCCACTGAGACCTCACTTATTAGAAAACCATATAAATAATCATACAGTTTATTATTCTTAAACTTTGTGGTCCCTATGGAAAACAAAAATATCAAAGCAGTCCTCAGTCAAAAAAAGGTTGAAAACAACTGTTCTATGGTATATTGATTGTTGTATTCTTTTAACATAATTACTCTATCTGATTAATGATATGATAACAGACGTTTGACCATTTATACGGTTTTTTCTTCAAAGAGAACAATACTACTGATCAATTCTATTCAATTGCATTACGTTGAATGTTTGCAGTTCCGAACATTGAAAATTGTGGATTCGTAGAAGATTACATTTAAATGTATTCAGAGAAAGTACTGACAAGTATCTGACTATCAATAATTATAATTTTTATCAAAAAAAAAAATAAGTTTTACACATAGACTTCTTTTTTAGTTGCTTCTGGATTTCGTTTGGCTAATGTTGAAGGCGCTGAGGTAGCTATACCATTCATAACAACTGTATTACCGGATTTCTGTTGTGTTGGACCATTCGATATTAAATTATTATTTGTGGTTTTGTTAGTACTCTCGGTTTCGGGCTGACCGGCAGAACGCACCGATGCCGTACGTTCTAGTTTCAATGGTTCAGACAAATTGAAGTTAGGATTTGCATTAAAGCTATTGTTACGCGATACATTTGGACCATTAGAAGATTTAATTGAGAGTAGAGCTGTGGTAGTGACAGCACCAGTACCATTGTTATTATTATGATTGTGATTATGTTTTCCATCACTGTCGTCATGTCCATTAATATTTAGTTCCGACAGTGCTGATGGTGAACGTTGTATAGATAGTGACACTGGAATTGTGGTGATAACATCATTTGTATCAAAACCAGTTGAAGTGGTAGTAATTGTGGGCATTTGAGCAGTTGCAATAGGCAAAATGTTCAAAGTACCTGTAGGCATAGTATCTGCTGGACTAGTGGTGACCGTAAAAGGAAATGAGAGTGTAGTTATATTGGTTGTAACTGGTATTGCTGAAATAGTAGTAAATTAAGTAATTTTTTTTGTGATTATGAATTTGAAAAACTTACGCGATGTTACTCCAAATCCTACATCCTTTCTATTGGTTGGCATGATTGCTTGTGCTAGTGCTGTTGTGGTTGCATTTCCTGGAATTAAAGTGTTATTTGATGAGGAACTATCCATTTCTTTAATTGGCGATAGTAATAGTGTGCCCAGCACAGGTCCGTCCTGACCATTGCTGCTTGTGTATGGATACATAGAGGTTTGTGTGCTCAATTGTGGCGTCATTATGACTGCGGCTTTCGTGGCTAAGGGTGCATTAGAATTTGTTGTTAGTGGTGCAGCTACAGGTGCTAAAATTAATTTACCATTTGAATCTTTCTCACCAGTTTCTTTTGTGACTTCAGGTGTGGGTATGCGAGGTCGAGTTTTAGGTAAATTGGCACTAAGTCCATTTAATTTTGTATCTAGTGATGAGTGATGCAGTTTTTATAATAAATAAGCATGCAAATGATGAAAATGACTTTTACTTACTCTGCTTAATTAATTGTTTTTGTGCACGCAACGATTTTCGATGCACGAATTTCTCATATAAACTTGGTTTCGATTGCATTTGTTGCTGTTGCATTTGTTGTTGCACTGCTTGTTGTTGCTGCTGTTGTATTATGGCCAGCGGTAGTCCAGATTCTGGACTTGAATAAACAGAATTCAAGCGATTACGATTGAACGCCATACCACCAGATGAATATGCTGTAGACTGACTACGCATGGAACCCATACGTGATAGTTGACGTACAAGCCAATTATTTTTACGACGCTCTACCATGGGTGTGTCGACACTTTCCTAAATGATAGATATATGTAATTGAGTGATGTATGTTTTATAGAAAGTTATTATTATAAGAAAAAGTCTTTGCTGGTATGTATTTATTACCACAATTTATTATTTAACACTAAAAAAACATACATAATCTGCATAAACATCATCAGCTAGCACACGTTTGCCTCCGCCGGGCAGTATGTTGGCGTACATGGCATCCTCTTTTTTAATTTTGTATTTCTCTGCTGAACCTTTGGGTTCATCTTTACGGTAATGCTCCGAAGCTACAGTATATGGCAAATCTTTTGGCACAACACATTCCCAATATTGATCTCGTAGAAGTTCTGGATGTTCTTCATGCATCTCATCGACGATCATATAAGCCGCCTATTAAGGAAAAAAATACGAAGAATGGAGTTAGTTACTTGCAGTCTACATAAGTGCTTTTATATCAAAATGATTAGAATTATTAATTAAGTTTGTAATCGTGTGTTTTAATTATAGGTTCTTTAATACTATCTTATTAGAGAGTCGAATATTTTTAAATAACTAATATTATATTAATATTATTAAAAATTTAGACGTGAAATCGTCCAACAGCCGGTACTGCGGCCATAAGAGTCCTATTGTACCAGTTTCACTACTGATTACACAAAGTCCCTTAAAGCTTTGTGAATAAAGACTAGAACTAAATCTAGGGAAGAGTTCTTAATCTGTTCTGATGACAGAAGTTCCAAATGAAACAAGTTTCTTTTGAGCGTTATTAAAGCTGGACATTCACAAAGAATATGCATGGTAGTTTTCTCATCTTCGAGGCATAATCAATCCTAAATTACATTTTGAGAATTTAATATAATAATATAACTTTCCTGAAGTTGGATGTACTACAAAATGAATGAACGCAAGTGTCAAGTAAATTATATTGAATAATATATATCTGAAGTCTTTCAAACCTAGGATAGGAGTTGTTACAAACATGAACACGTAGTAAAAATGATTTAGTATTATATTTTAAAAAATTATTTTCTCAAAATAATGTATAAATAGCGTTTAAGTACTATAACTATTTTCACTTTCCCAGTTTAGTTTAGAATTCAGTTATTTTTAAACTACTGTTTACAGTAACAATTTTTGTCTCTATTATTTGTTATACTTATATTCCATGGTTTTATATATATTTATTTTGATAGTTCAAATGCATTAACGTAAAAACGTGACTTTTTAATATTTTTACATGAATGATCTAATTTTGAGAGATTATTTATTATTGTTTAAAAAATATCGCTTTAGATTTTTAGTTTCTAAAATTTAAATGAATTCTTATGTAATTTTGTGATGTTGTTGAAAGAATTCTTATATAACTACTAGTTATATATGGTGTATACTATTGGTGTAAGACAAGATTGTCTTAGCAGTGATCACATCATATGTGAGACAATATCTAGTCATTTTTTGCAAAAAACAATTTCGTAATATACTTGCATTATCATTGAGACACATCTACAGACGCCAATCCAGAGAAAATGGACTTTTACAAAATCTAATGCTATCTACATTCCTGAATTCATGACATTAAATTTTTCACTTCATTGTGCTCAATTTGGGCCAGATGGGTCTCGTGATCTGACACGAATCTTTATCTACCCATGCATTCGATGCCGAACCCTAAGTTTGCTAGTTTATTCTTTGCAAGAGGAATACCAATTACCAGAAAGTGAATATTAAAGTGAATTCATTCATCACAATTGATAAATGTTAGTTATTAGTAAAAATTTCGGTGTAATATGCGATATAATATAAAAAATATAATAATCATAATGTAACAAAAAAAACGTGGTTGTTATTTACAATTAATGAAGATTAAAGTTAAGGTAGAGTTTAGCTCATATAAAGTTTGCAAGTTAAAAAAAAATGGAATTCAACAAAGACAATTTTTACTGCTACTATAATGTATGGTTTAGATCGGATAATGTTAGGAAACTAATTTTAAATAGCATTATAATAAATTTAAGTGTTATGAATACTATTGTTTATTTTTTATAGTATATTTTTTTATAGCAAAGTTAGTACTTTACAAGAGTAGAAGAGATTGGTACCGTTTCGCTGTCGGGAACACTACTATTTAACAATACAATACATGCTTCATACAATATGTTTTATGTCAATATATAGTTTACTTTTCGATATGTTAAACATTAAAATTTAAAGGTATGCTTGCGACCTTGTAACTACCCCATAAGATCTATTAAGATCTTAGCGCTCTGCTTTACTGGGAGCCGATGATTGATTTTTTAATGACTTCTTATTGAACATCAAAACTGTTTTTAATAATGAATAATGCAATAATTTTCTATAGAGGTCATTTTAGTGAATATTTAAGATTTTGATAGATCTTTGGTTAATATAAGCGAATAGTATTTGTTAAATAAAGAGAATGCTATTTGGTTGTCTATAGACTTTATCCAGAATAAAACGTTGATTTACGTCGTAGCACTTTACTTCACTCAAGACCTGCGTAATTATAAATTTTATGGTGACCCAATGGTGTAAGGGAATTTTAATGCATTTTTAGTGTTGTAAAATGCTCATTTGCACTTCCGTTATAAATTATTTGTTACATGTTTTTTAATTAAATAATTGTTGCCTTAATAGCAAAATTCAGTACTACATAAATATAAATTAAAAAAAAAAATTAAAATTCCTTGAACGTTTGAATTATAACAACTTCGGCACGTGCATCAATTGAAACTTTCATTTCAAATAACTTTGCCTTTCAAACATGTTTTAAATGAATAAATAAATTATTTTAAAAACAGTAAATTTATTTCTATAATTCATTTTTTGCTTTAAACGAAATTAACCGTACACTCGTGTTTAAAGTGTTTAAAGTTTACTATTGGCAAGAAGGGTTAAACACCTGCCATAACAATTTCATCATAAAAATATTGCCTTTCAGTTGAACTAAAATTGTAGTTACAGCCTTAGTCGCATCTAAAGTCTATTGTAAGAATTCATTGCTCCTTGCTTGACCGTCAATATATTCAATTGTCTCTGCCTAACAATGCAGAAGTGGCTAAACGTGTGTGAAAGATACAATGTCTAAACTCGGACAATAATCCAATGCTTAAGCCACTGAACTTTTATAAGCTGCAAAGGTTTCGTAAAAATGATCTAAACTCAGTTTCTCGACTGAACACTACCGACTGCTATCCATTACTTCACTTCACCCATTCCCTTACGGTCTTTCGGTATAAGTACGCTACTGTTTATTTATGGTAAGAGTACAACTGATTACCGAAGAAACCAGTTTCAGGTATTATTTTGTTGGCTCAAACTGCATTGGTAACAACATTTGTGGCCTAAAGTAAGACAAGTGCTTTCTGGTAATTTATTTCTTGAAGTTGTTGTGCTGTTGTTGTTCCGTTGTTGGTATTTTTAGCACGTGCCACATTTTTTAAAGTTGTTTGGGTTACTGAGCTTATGCAAGTCTGACTTACAATCAAGTCAAGTTTGAAGAATCGATAGATAAACTCAAAAAAAAAATGCTTAGAAGAGCTTGTTTTTTATTTTTAAATCTTTACGGCATAACTGAATGACTAAGCCTTGTTACTTTGTGTAAAGTTCAATTTAAATTCTGGTGTACAGTACGCCTTAGTTGCAGAATGGAGGGGGAAACATTGCATAGCGGTGATGTGGTTTGTCTCCGTTATGGCATATGTGTCATAACAATAGAAAAGCTTTGAAGGTAAATAAATTGAAAAGTTAACTACAGATTCAGACGTCGAGAGAGAAACAAGTATGGGAGCCATTAAAATATAATTCAGTTTTTATAATAAGATCAATCAATTATTCAATTATCAATTATATTATTATAATATGTCCAGAAAGTATAAGCCACGAAATATAGAAAGAGGCGAAATATATAAAAATGTTTTTAAAGTTTTTTTTTTTGGTAAGTTTAACCAAAGACTAGATAGAGTATGAGTTAGTTAATATGTAAGGAGACAGAAAATCACAATTTAGAATGTTTATCTTTATAGTAAGTTCAAATACATTCTTGTCATCATTAAATTCATTTATTTAAATAACTCAATTATACTGTTGAGTAGATGGTTAATCTTCACAATCTGCGCTATCTGTTACACTATTTGTTTTCGCGGAAGCATCGAGAGAAATTATGGATATAGTCCGTTTGACTATGCAAGTACTGCTAGAATGTAAACTAGTTAAGTACTTTAATAGCACCTCAAATACAATTGTGTCAATATATTAGTTAATGAACAAGTTGACAACTTAGTAAGACTCGTAGTCGCCACTCCTTCTTATGTCTTCTTCTTCTATTGTCCTCGTCTCCCAGTAGAGCATAGGACTTCCACCATCCTTTTGTATCGAACTCAATTATATCATTCTTGGTTGATATCATTCCAAGAAGAATTTGCTAATTGCAATTCTGCATCGACTGTCCTTCGCGATCATATGAGTGTTTGACGAGCAATGTCTTCAGGGGGTTTGCGAGAGTATGACCTATCTAGCGCCATTTGCTCATACACACTTCTTCAGAGGTTGACATTTGATTGGCGACAACCCCAAAGATCATTGCTGATATGATTAGGTCATCATAAGTAAAAAATCTGACACAATCATTTGTTGTGCCTGGTCACGTCTCACATTTATTAAGGGGCACCGATTTGGCTTTGGAAGTATAGATACGTAGCTTGGTTTTCATAGAGATATGTCTTGATATCCAGGTAAAGCCTAGCATGCCGAATGAAGCCTTAGCTCTGTTTATGTAAGAGAGATGTCCGAGATGACCGCATCAGCCCCACTTTTAGTAGGTATCATGCTATACTCTAGTTTTGCTGTACTATACCAAATTCTCTATCTCACATCGTACTCTCAAGATATGGCACCGATCGACTTATTTTTTCAAAAAAACAAATAACTACTTCTAGGCACCCGTTTTCAATTGATAGAAGACTGAAGTTGAGAGTTTACAAAATGTTTCGAAGACTAGATTATTCGTTGGTGTTAGTCTCATTTCAGAAAGCGCCTACTTTAAAGGCGATATAATAATTTGTTCATGATTTTAAATTTTTCATTGACTAATTTTCGACACTTTTTAGATCAAATAATATAAGAATACTAAATTTATAAATTTCAGTTGCACTGCGAGCAATTTGTTAAAATCAAAATAATGCTTAGAAATGACTAGAGAGGTGTTTTCAATGAAGAAACATGATTAATAATTACTTTAGTCAGAAGAATCATCACTCGTAACTATTACTATTATCATTTTTGTATTATTAAGCTCTTAATGTAATGTTATATTTATTAGATAATAAGCATAAATGATAGATATATGGTATTCAATAAAGAACTTCATAATT